CCAGGTCTACCAAGCCACAGTCGCTACCAGGGAAGAAACTGAAACGTACGTTGGCCTCACAGCGACAGATTTTAAGACTAGATGGCGCAACCACCGAATGTCGTTCAACCACGAGAGACGGCGAAATGACACAGAGCTGAGCAAGTACCTGTGGAAACTAAAGGAGAAGAGGGAAGACTATTCGATTTCATGGAAAATTATTGCTAGGGCTAGAGCATATTCCAATGCCACAAAACGTTGCAATTTATGCCTCACTGAGAAATTTTTTATCTTGTCTTATCCACATGAAGCCTCTTCAAACAAGCGAAGTGAAATAATATCCAATTGTGGATATCGGCGAAAATATATATTCAAGTATTCTTAACGCTATTATCGGCACGCGCACGGTTTTCAAGATTTGAATTTTTTAAACAATATCATGTGATCACGTTGCTGAGTTAGAGTTAACCGTCACGATGCCTCAGTGTGTATGGAGTTTAAAAGATGAGTGGATCAACTTTTGTTGGTCTACGAAACAGGCTGTATTAAAATCCATATGTGCGTAACTTGAGTAGTCCATTTGCTACTGTAATCGCTCCTTCCTATACATAAGCGAAATAGGCAACGTAGGATCTAAGACAGTGCTCGACAATGGAGGAACGATTACAGTAGCAAATGGACTACTCAAGTTACGCACATAGGGATTTTAATACAGCCTGTTTCGTAGACCAACAAAAGTTGATCCACTCATCAGTTTATTAAGATCGTTTTCAAGGCCGGAAGACGTGTCGTTGATTTTGTAGATACGGTCAATAGACCGGTTCACGCTCTTGAGTGCATGCTGGGTAATTAGGGCAAGCAAATCCAAAATGGCGGATACGCTCAACAACACTCTTTTGGTTCTGTCCTGGTGTACCGGTTCATAAGGGAATTACCATTGTTCTTTCTTTGTTTAGGAGTCATTGGTTAGCTGTTGTGTATTGTTCGGTCTTTTGTATCGGCTCTTGTGAACCGGTACACGAGGACAGAACCACTCTTTTGCTCGATCTGAATACTTCTAGTTCAATATAGAAGTCACAGCTACATTTTGAGCTCTGTAGGTTATTGCCATCTCGCTCAAAAGTCGTTGACATTTCAATATCCCAGCAACGAGATCATGGCCACGCACCTCTAAGATTTTTTGGAACTTTCATGTGGGGAATTGCAGTTTTATCTTAAACAGAGAGGTTTGCCCTCTGGAGGGACACACTCGGATCTTGCTGCTCGTGCTTTGGTAGCTTTTGAACATAAAACACCTATTCGAGAGTTCGGATATGGCCAATTTTGTAACATGATGGAGTAAAACTAAAGAAATTTGTTAATAAACTTTCCGACAATTTTAAACGTAATTCTTTTCCTCCGCATATTATTGACAGAACTTTCAAGCGGTATCTTGACGGCTCTTCCTCTCAAAATAGCCGGAACACTGACGACAATAATACACGTTAGTTTAAACTCCCCTTTGTCGCCTACTATTCTAAAATAGCGAACCTTAATCTCTGAGAACTCACTAAGCGCTTTTGCAAATCGGACCTTAATATCAAACTAGTTTTCACTTCTTTTAAAATTAAAAACATTTACAGTGTTAAAGATCGTACTCCTGATGCTCTAAAATCCATGGTAGTTTATCAATTTTCTTGTGCGGGTTGTAATTCCTGTTACATTGGCGAAACTAGTCGCCACTTCTCTACTAGGATAAAGGAGGAAACGGAAAGCGATAAAAACTGGCATATTTTTAAGCATTTCAACACACCTCTTTCTTGTAAGAACAAATACTCCCTTTCTTGCTTTAGTATTCTGGATTCTGCTCACAACTCAATTGATTTAAAACTCACAGACGCTTTTTATATAAATAAGACCAAACCTGAACTTATCAAACAATTACAGCATTATAACACTTTTCTAGCTTTTTAGATCACACCTTTGACGTTTGTTGTCACGTTGTAATTAGTACCCGCTTTTGTATAGCGACGAGTGGGACGTACTAAAAATAGACGACGTGACTTTTGGACCCCAAGCAAAGGTCGGACAAACATTGCTGTAATCACAGTAAATGGATAGGAAGAAAATCTATATGTTGTTGGATGTTTTTTGCTGTAAGTGGTCGCAACAAAACACTGCTGTTGGGGAGAGTGCAAAAGTGATTCTAGATTTCCTCATTTACTTCATCCTGCTTTAAAGAAGAGATTACAAGAAGGCAAACCGATATTTTTGCCGTTCCCGAAGAAGTCTCAAGGACTCGAGAGATGCCTTCGATGGATTAATGCTTGCGGTCGAGGTAAAGAGTTTACCGTAGACAAAGTAACAAAATACACCGGGAGAGGCAGGGCCTACAAAGGAGTTTGATGTGCCCTTGAAGGCAACACTGAAGCCAAAAGAGGTCTTGAAAGCTACAAAACCAAAGCGGAAAGCGCCACGTGCGAGACATGCAGTTCCGCCTAAACGAAGGAAATCCAGATCGAATCAAGACAAATCACAACCAGTTTTCGACCAGACTCATGTTAATGATTACGTCCCTGATAGCGCTAAAGTGATTGAAAATTCTAGCCTGAAGAATGATCTAGAGAAGTCGGCTAAAAGCCGTGACTTTGCTACACAAACGGATGTTAGCAATCACGAACTATCGTACAAACTTGAAGTTATGACGATGATGAGAAGTGCTGCTAACTCAAGGAAATCTACAAATATAGTGAGTAACATATCTTATGAACTTATTAAAGAAAACTCTGAACTATGGGAGATGACAAAACGCTGAGCCCTACTCCATGGAGTACCTTATGGAGTGCCTGAATGGAGTACCCCTAAAAGTCATGTATTGGTCAAATAAAATATTTGATGAACGTGATGAATCGTTTAGATGTACATATCCTAAAATATTGAGCTTACCAGCTCTCCGAATGTCACAATTCGATACAATCCAGTTTTTTGGGGGAGAGTTGACAAGGGCTCTTATGAGTCTTACTGGTTCCTCCATTTTGGTTTTACCGCTGTGTAATGAGTCCGTTGACGAGAAGACAAACAACTCCATGTGATGAACAAAACCCACTGTTTCGATTTCTGCACGAGATAAAATATTAAGCTTACTGCATTTCCCAGATCAACAACCGCAGTCGGATTTATTTGCCTACCCGTCACTGTTTTTTTTTGTTTGTTTACATACTCAATTTTAGTCCGCTACAAATAGATGGGTGAGGAGAAGCTCAGTTTAAAGATAGGGATTACCTTTTTAAGTCTCAACCTACAAATTTAAGCTTGTGTCTTCATCGCTTCGCACATCTAAGAAACCCACGAGGCCATGTGTTACTAGATGGAGCGCCACACTTCTTACAAACGCCACACAAAAAGGTATTTTGGAAGATATAAAACCCATTGCAGAGTGAAGGTTGTCCCTCCTTTTGGCCTCTTGAAGATCATATGAAAATAGATGGTAGTCGGCCTATTAACGCCTATTAACCGCAGTTCAAAATATATGAACTTCATATATTCATCGTATCTGATTTATCATCACGGATTTATTACGAAACAACTTAACGGCCTGCTCACAGTTGGCTTGTTAGCTCAATTGGTAGAGCGCTGCACTAGTATCGCAGAGGTCAGTGGTTCGAATCCCGTACAGGCCTGATTTTTTTCAGGTCTGATTTTCGCTATTGC